AGCGCCTGTGCTGCGTGCGCGCTGGGCTGCGCCGCGCCGCGCCGCGCCGCTTGGTACGGCCCACGGCGGCGATCATGGCGATTGACGGTAAGTAGGCCAATAACGGGCGCCCCGCGGGCCCGGCGGCCCCCTGCTCTGCCCTCCCCCGGGGGCGGCGGCGGGGGAGGACGAGGGAGGCTCCCCCCGGGCTCGGGGTCGGGCCCGTGCGTGCTGCGAGGCTCTGGGGAGGTAAATAATCGCGGCGCGGCGGCTGCCATCCCTCCTCCCGCCTCCTCCTCCTCCTCCTCGCCGCCTGGCGGGGGGCGGCGGGCGCGTGCCCGGGGGCGCTGCGCTGCGGCCGGGCTCGGCGCGGGCGAGGGCGGCTGGTCCCGGAGCCTCCCCGCGGCCGCCGGGGCGGCGCTCGAGTCGGCGCCGGGCAGAGAGGCGGCAGGGAAGCGGCGGCTGCTCCCTGGAGCCGCTGGGGAGGGACGGGTGTCTAGGTGCCCTGCGCGCCCCGCAGCGAGGGGATGTCTCGGGGCAATGCGGAGCGCGGCAGCGAGCGGCGGGTCCCGGAACGTGGAGCCTGAGCCTCCCTCCCTGCACAGGGGGCTTCGGCCGCTGTTTGGAAAGTAATCTGCCCCGCTGGCCCTGAGCTCTGTGAAAACTAATCCCTTGCTCAAGGGATGTGCCCTGTGCTCTCCTGGGTGCCCTGTGCTGCGAGCTAGCAGCCTGTGTGCAAGCTGGTCTCCCCAGTTCCCTCTGCTTATCGTTTTTATTGCCCTTTTTTAAAAAGGAAGGAGGCAGAGTTGACACTTGTTGGGTCTCTCTGGAGAGGGTTATCTTTAAAGACAGGGCTTCTAAGCTTTGTTTTGAAAAACATCCTTCTAGAATTGGAGAGTGATTTTATACATCACTTAAAAATTCCTTTAAAAAAAAAAACCCTTAAATTTCCAGCAAAACAAGGCTTACAGACATGCAATGTCCTCAATGTTTCTTTCTGAAAACATCTGTTTTTATAGCCAAAAGAACCTAGGAAAAGAGCGAAGAGGGGAACTGCTGATGTTTGTTTTGCATGTGGGATGTTTCTGCGTTGTCGGTTTCCGTGGATGAGCAAATCAGGCCTCAGTGTGTGAGGAGAAGTTGCCCTGCGCAAGCAGAGCTGCCTCTTCACCCCGCCTTGGAAGCTGCGCGCACCAGGAGCCAAAGTTGGACAGCTTTACATTGGCTAAGCTCTTCTCTGCTCAAAAGTCAGCTTAATATTATAAAGAAGAGAGGAAAGCATTCTGCTGAGTCTGTGCTTATTAGGTAACTCAAAGCTGGGAGAGACAATGTCCGCCCTTTGAAATCTGACAGTATTTGCAGTTTAGGCTGCCTTTTCGCAGAAACCTGTGAGAATTTGTTACAGATCCGAACATATTTATGTAAAGATTTAAATTTTGTTATTAATATTCATAGAGGATTTAAGGCATTACTTCTTAATGATTAAAACATGTACCCTGGAATGGATTAAGCAATCCAGCCATTCAAAAGAACATGGCACTTCTTGTTAGGTCCAGGGCAGGCTGTCAAAATAGCCAGGTTCTCCTGGAGGCAAGTAATGAAATTGCAAAAACAAGAGCTCTGTTCTCCTGAGGATTTGGTCTGTAGATTGCAGTTAAAGGTGAGGCAAGACATGAAAATGCAGTCGTGAAACTGATCTGCTATGTTTTGATTTACTTCTGTTGCTCAAGACATAAAATAAAATGAATATTTCTGCTGTAGCAGGAGTGTAGCATCCTCCCTTCTCCCTCTCCCTGCTTTTTAACTGAGTATCTGATTACTACAGATATGTTAGTAGGTACTATGATTTTTATACTTCATTTTAGTGGTCTCCTCCTGGTCGTGTAATCGTATCTTCCTTAATTGTCCTGTTTAGCAGTACTGCTTCCCCATCAGCAATGTTTTCAGATCTGTGATATGGGTAACTACTGACTGCCTGAATTCAGGATCAAACTGCAGAGCTTCTTCTTGTCTAAGGTGTCAGAAGGCAGAATTTGCACCATGTCCAAGCAAGTGTTTGCGTGGTTTAACAAAGTAATTGGAGAAAATGCTTCATTTTAAAGACCATTCCATAGTACAAGTTTTTTGGTTTGTTTGTTTGTTCTTAAGCCACAGGAAATAAGAAAGATTTGTAGACTTCTAATGGAAGGATGAATATTAAGCATTTTGAAACTCCTTGTAGTGAAATATGCATCTTATATTTGAAGAGTACAGAAAATTAAAGCAGCTCACTTTAGGATATGCTGTCTGCAAAGAATCAAGTGCTTTTGTCTGTTTTAAAAATATCGGCATACCAGTTTACATTAGTTTAACTGACATTTTTGTTTTTAAGGTGAAGTCTTTCCTAACGAGTTGTAAAGAACGAAATAAGCAAAGTTATTTTTGGTCAATGACAATAGTTACTTTTGTGTTGTGATTACTGACAGACTCTTTTAATATCTGGTATACTTCTCTTTTCCTAAACAAACTTAGTGTTTGTATTAAATAAACGTATATTAAGTTACAAAATACTTTTAAAAATGTTTCCACCTTTTATAGAGGCAGGTTAAATTAATCTCATGTGGGCAGTATCAGAATGGGAAGGAAGACAAGTATCGTAGTGTGTAAAGCAAAATTGAAAACGGACATCAGAATAGTAGTCAGCTTCTGGTAGAAAAGGGAATCTTCTCAACTCCAACTGCCTAAACTGGAGTCTAGAGGCAATTTACTGGGACTGTGAGGAGACAATCAAGGAGTTGCTTCTGAGACCTGACAATCCTTCAAAATCAAAATTGCTCTGTTGGCCTGTTGCCCTGGCCAGGTGAACTGGATTTCGTACTGTTGTTCTTGCTTCTTTGAGCAGCGGTAAAACTTGGGCACCTGCCTCAACAACCTTGTTAAATTGAGGTCCTGGTGAAGAGCTTGTAATGGAAGTCCTGTTGTGCGTAGGAGGGAAAAGAGGTTCCACCGTGCTGTAGGTGAAAAGAAAGTCCCATGGAATAACTTAATAGAAGACAGCTTTACGCTGCAATTCTAAGGAACATGACCTGCCATATTTTCCCCCTGTAATTCCATTTCTATAGTAGTTTACTTTTTTTGTTCCTGCTGCAGTATGCTGCAGGCTTCCTCATGTACCTAGGCCTTTGAATAACTTGGGCTTCATTCTGCACCTGCTCAGTCTCTCTGAAGTGTCCTCAGCTGGGTGATGTTTCTGGCAAGATTGTCCTCCTCTCTTTCCTCGCATGCTTGCTTGGGAGCAGACCCTGAAGCTGTTCGTACTATACATGGATTTATGGGTTGGTGGGTTGTTTGGTGAGCGCAGTGGTCAGTGGCTGTGTTGTATGTGGCTGCTGACTCTCAAGAAACTCTGAAATCTTGGAAGTATCAAGTTCCTACTTCTTCCTGCCAATTCTGGTCTGAGGGAGCTATGAAATCAAAAGCAATGGAGAGACTAGGCAGGAAAAAGACTAATTATGTAACCTTCATTTCCTTGGGAAACAAAGGCAAGAATTACTAAATGAATTTTTATTGTAATTTATGCATGTAAGAATAAAAAGGAATTACATAAAAGCTATATCTAGTAGCACACATCATAATCCAGAAAAAGAAATGAAAGTAAAGAGTGCTAACCTGGCTGCTGTGCTCAGGTTAGAGTATCATATGTGGCCTGTAGGTTGAAGGTAGCCCGTGGAACAGTTTTATCTTGCCTCCCAAGTAAGCTGGCATATTCAGGTGTCGCTGCGCTGTGCCCTAGAAGGAGGTAAGATAATACAGAGATCCTCAAGTTAGCCCTGACCTGAATTGGCTGCAGTGCTGCCGAGCGTGCCGGTGTGGCCAGGGCAGGTATTGGGAGCACCAGCAGTATTACATAAAGGCTAAGTGTAAGAACTAGTATTCTCTACCAATGTCTGCTTTAAAAAAATTAACTGTGATGGGGATCACATACTGGGATATTTGGTTTGGGCATCCATGCAAACCCTATCCAAGACTTGGTATCTTATCCATGTTCTTTGAGTAGGGGACTGTTTCGGGAATATTGCCTGGTGTTAATTTTCTCATTGTTGCCATTGTAGGTATGTGTCCCCCTGTTATGTATGATAACAAGTAAAGCTGTGCCATATACAAATTATACAATCTCTCGTTGGATTTGTAATGTCATGGGCTTATTGAATTGGAAAGCCATTAGATCTCTATCTTGCTTTAGGCAATGCTGCTTAAAATCTAACCTCTAATGCTCTAAAAGCTGCTTTTGAAAAGCTCCCCATGGTCTGAGTTGAAACTATCATACTTCTTATATAAAGAGTTGATCTGTTCAAAGTGGGATTTTTCCTAAACTCAGATTAGGTTTTGAATTTTACCTTTACTTTAGCAAATTGAACTCTGGTGCTCTACATAGGCATATAGGTAAACAAATACCCAGCGGCTACCTGATGAAAATGTTGGCCTGTGTTACTTGTATGTGTTTTGATCGACAATTGTAACGAAGGGGGAAAAGAGCCTTGTGGTCTTTAAGAAAACTTTACATTCTTTAGCTATGAAGTCATATTTTCTTTTCACTTGAGTCTGACTCGCTGTTATTCCTCCAGTTTTGGCAATGAATGATGCAAAGATAATGGTCTTCCTGAATATTGACTGGACTTTAGTCTGAACTGGGCAAAGGTCCAATCTTGTAGATCAAAACAGATGTGCAGGTAGGGACTGAAGTAAGGATTTCTACTCAGCAATTAATCATTGCACTTTCCAATTTTTAATTATTTAACTCTTGGAGGTGGGAGAAGTTTTCTGCTTTCCTTGTAAATCTTCACATAGAGAAAGCTTGTCACTTTTTTCAAGGCTGCTTTTAGACAGAAAATGATTTTTGAGGCTATAGACTAATAGGTCATTCTGCAGAGGAACACGTACTTCAGTGTTAAAAGTGGTAGGTTCAGTATGACTGGAACAATGTCTTACAGGTAGTTTTGTACTCCAAAGTAAGCTTTTTTCCCCTCTAATAACTAGACTATTCTGAAATCTTGATAGTAATTTTGTTTTTTATCAAAGTTTCATCTTTTATCTGAAATGAGACATCCAGATAATGCATTATGCAAAAAATATATACACATAAATAATCTTATTTGATTTAATTAAAATTATTAGATGTATGCTTTTAAAATAAAGGATTGAGTCTATAGTCCATTTATTTTTATTTTTTTTTTAAATTGCTTCCTAACTCATTCTTCTGAAACTTTGTTCTGGACTTTCCTTTGTCAATAACATCTTTTGTTGTCAACACCTTCCTGTTTAATTTCCACAGCATTTGCTGTCAATATCCATTGCTTGACTCTATTTTCTAACCTGTTTTCATTTGCAATGTACTAACAATTATTCTTGTAGTTGCTGATTCTCCTTCTACTTTTTTGTTTTGTTTCATTTTAAAGATTGCACAAGTTTTATGTGAGGTCAGATTTCAATACTTTCTACTGTGTATTTCTACTGCTGGTTATATTTCCTGCATCTCTTCATTTCTACTGCTAATACCAATAGGTATTTGAGACCAAGCTAAAGTAATTTCCAACCATTTATTTTAAATGTTGTTATTATTTAGGGTTTGCAGAAAACTGGAAATTCATGTGATCCTGGGCAGAAAGGAAGCTGGGTTAATATTATTTTTGGGATATGGGGAGGAGGTCTCTGGGAACATCTCTTTTCAGTGGCATAGTCTCCTAGTCCTTTTCATTTTCTTTCTTCTATACCTCAGTGGAGGTGGTTCCAGTTAATTCAGTGGGAGTTTCAGGCATATTAATACACGCTATACATTGTGTTAGGCTTTCTCATTTGGGCCCCATTTGACGTTTCTGTGCCATAGCATCTCTATTTTATGCATTCACTGCACAGCACTGTTGCTTCCTTCTCGCTGCACAGCCCTGCAAGGTAGGGGCAGCTGGGGGGGCCTTAGCCGTGCTCTGTCTTGCCATGGGAGCTGTGGCCCAGGGGGGTTATGGCAGGTCCTTGCCCAGAACAACGTGCTTTCAAGAGGACTCTGCTCTGAGGTCCCGCTAAGCTCTGTGATGTAATTACATTATTATAGGGCACTTATTTTCAGAACCACCTACTGACATTTCTGCTGAACTCAAAGCATAGCAGAACTTTAAAAGTTTGAATTGCACTCGTTTTAAAATGGTGTGCCTTTTTTTTCTATTTAATCAATTTAAAATAGTGTACTTTTTGATAGCTGACTTTTTGTCTTTTTGGTGCAATGAGTTGTGATAGTCATCTTTGCAAATACGGACTTGCTACAGTAATCTCTGATATCGTGAAAATAAATTTCGTCACGTATTTCAGCTCCCTCTAGTTCTAAGCAAAACTTATGGTCATTTTATTGCACTGTATATTTGAATGTTTTATTTTGGGTACCCTCAGTGGTACTGCTTTCTTGAAAGATTCAGGTGTAGTGTTAAAAGTGGCATTCTATAATGACTTAGTCTTTTAAAGTTTTTTTTTTTTTTTTTAATTTGCATAAATCCATGTTCCAAGTTGGTAAGTTGCATTCTTCAACAATTTGGACAAAGCACTACATAGTTTTGTACGCAAAATAACTTTGAAGTTTAAAGCATTAAATAAAAGATTATGTTTATAGATAGAATAAAATAGAATCAATAACTTCTTAAATTCTAAATCAGACTTGAATTTTAATTAAGCTTGAAAGTGTGGTGGCCTACCACTACATTAAATTTTACAGGGTTGAAATGTTACTTGAATGTAATTGAATTTAAGAGGGTCATAGCGCTGGACCTGTGGGAGTTGTTGGCTAACCATATTGCAAACAGACTTTTCAACTCCTAATTTAAGACTTTAGCAGTCTGAAGTCTTGCTATTTTGCAAAATGCTTTCACATTTTCAGTTTAGTCCTTTCTGTGGGTCTTTCAAAACTGAAAGTCTCAGGAGTTAAAAAGACAGAAAAGCTTCTTTTCCCTTGCTGATCTGTGAGTAAAAACAAGGTGTCGAAGGTGTATTAGTTCCTCAGTTTTGAGGAGCACTGGGGAAAAAGAAAAATCTGTTCAAACCGCTTGAGGATAAGTTTTATTTTGTTTAATGAATTGATTAATTTCAATTACAAAAGTTTAATTTTTTTTTAAAGTAGCTCTTTATGTTTTTTCTTTAACAGTTGATTGGAAAACAATTTCAATCTAAAAGCAGTTTGCGGGGAAAAAAAGTGTAAAAACTCTTAAATAAAAAACTAAGATTTTTCTAACCTAATAAAAAGCAAAAAATAAAATGTAGAATGAATTCATGTTAGTGTAAGTTTAGATAATATGTATCCTGTGATTGTATAAACTCTATTTAGTTGGAAAATTATCATATCTTAAATTTCTCAGTCATTTATATGCTTTTAGAAAACAAAAGGTACCAAGGCAAAAGCTAAAACTGGAGTAGGTATTCTAAGCTGAGCTTTCTTGCCTGCTGATTTCAGTGGTGATTGTAACATACAGTTCAAGTCAATTGCTGCTCGCTATCCCTTTCACTATGATTTCTAGGTGAATTTCGTGTGTCATCTGACTTATCTAGCACCTGCTATTCGAAAAACCCATTCAAAAGTTTCCTTGTGGCCTGTATCTCATATTCCTGAATATTAATAAAAAAATACATTCTTCGGTTAAAAGGAGATGGTTAGAGTATACTTAATCTTTAGTATTGAAAAACTTCTTTCCATTTATTGATCCTTTTTATATTTTTTGTCCAATATGTACATTACCTACATATCCTTAGAAGGTAATTTTAGTTACAAACATATGCTTTTAACTTTTTAAAATAGCAACTTTTACTATGTCAATTGTGACTTTAAATATTAGTTGATATCATAGAATAATTTTGATCCTTTTTGGTGGACTGAGGGAGAATAAAAAACAAGTGTATTCCACATTCCTTGAGTTGGAAAGGATTTTCTTATCTAAAGTTTATTCTCACGTGTTGTAAAGTGTTTGGAGTACTGTATGATTAATATACATGGAGTAGATGTTTTGTGGTCTCTTTGAAAACTGTTTCGTATTTAAATGAGGCTGCAGAGAACATTATTTGGTGACCTAGGTATTTCTTTACAGTTCTGCATTTGTATGTTGCTAAAAATCAGTGTTTTGCTGTCAGTGGAAGAAGACTTAGAGGGCATTAGGGTATCTTGAAGATGTAGGTCATACCTTGATAGCACTTGGAATTTTAAGGTTTGCCCTTGGGAATATCATTTGAAAATATATTTTTTTAGAAGAGAATGAAATCAGTAATGTTGTAAATGTATACAATATAAATAATCAAAATGAAAACAAGCCCTTTCAAGTCTTGCATATCAGAAGAATCTCTTTAGTAGTTTGTAACTGTCTGTTCTTCATTCTGTAACGCACAGTGGTAGAACACGCGTTCTCCTGTATCAGACCTTTTTAATATTATGGATATTCATTTAGCAAATTTTGAATTTATATATGAAAAAAGAACTCTGTTTGCATTTTTCATTAAAAATGATTTTATAATTTACTCTTTATAAGACTTAGAGACCAAGTATTTTATTTGTTAATATTTTCTAATAATTTATTTCCATATAGGTGGAGAACGAACTTGTGGTGTACATGAGCTAATCTGCATTAGAAAAGGTAAGCAGTGGTTTGTGAAAAATAACATTTGGCTTGTGAAGCATACAAGCGAGAAATCAGCTAGCCAGAGTTACTATCTTACGTTTTCTAGGATAGTGTCAGACCTTTGTGTTAGTCACTGATGGTGATACAATCAATGAGGAAAAGAAAAAATCATGCAATAAGCTAGAAATGTGAAATTCCAAAAGACTTTTTTCACAATAAAAATGTTCTTCCTATTCTCACTGAATTACATGGAAATTCTGAATGTTGTCCAGCTGTGTTTGGGTTTCTGTAGGATTTAAAAAAATTTTTTTTGTAGTGATTGAGATTTGTGATGATGCTTTAAATAACTACTGTAATAAACTGCCAATCTTGGGCTATTTTCTTCAATTCAGATCCGAAAGACAGAAGCTGTTTTGAAAACGGCTATAGGTAATGAAACTAGTAGTTGTTAAGCAGAATAAAACAGAAACATACTTGAGAGAGCTTTTAAAAGTTTAAACTTGAGTTACTGTGACTGAAGCTGCAGTTTGATACAGCTCAGCAGGTCTGCAGGCCAGATACTGTTTTTTTGTTCTCTTCTCTTGCAAGCAAATATATTCCTTTCTGCTTACCTTGCAGTGGCGTTGCTGGTGAGCCACTGAGCATCTGATATGAAGACTAAGCTTTCAAAAGAATTATTTCCTCAAAATGAATATTTTCTTTGAATTATCTCATTATTACGTCAGAAGTGTCAAATGGCTTTTAAAAGGAAGGGAATGATAAAGTGGTGGCTGAAGACGGCTGCAAGATTTCCTCTTTCAGCAGCAGCTAATGCTAGACTGCCTAAGCAGCATTGTCAAACTGTATTGAATTTGCTACAAAGAAATTTTGTTTGGCTTTTAAATGTAGCTCAGTTTCCAAACTGTTCACGTATACAGCATTCACTTGGCGAAAAATGGCTTTATTTTCACAAGTCGTCTTTTACACATTTAATTGGACGAGTAATTGAAAGAGTTGTATGTAGTTTGATAGTAAGTATTGTAATTAAAATCAACTTTATTTCTTCTTAAAAGCTCTGATACATTCTGTTCTTGCTTTCTGTAAGAAAACGTCTTTTTTTGAGGAGTTTGCTGATGCTCTTTTGTTTACTTATCTTTTTCTTCTCCGCTTTATTGCTGTTGGTGTCATTCTGCTGCCCGTCAGTGCACACGGTGTTCTGTTTTCTTGCCTTAATAGACTCTTTTTAAAATTGTGAAATTTATTGCAGCAGGATGTTCAGGAAGCCCTCTGATGAAATTTCAAAATCTATCAATCATGCTAATGCCTGTTTATTTCAAAGTACTGTACTGACTTTAAGAAAAACAATCTATGTTCTCAGAGGCAATGACTTTGATTTTATTATTAATGGAAAGCTAAATTGAAGAAAACATGCCTTTTCTAAGGGTCTGTGTTATGTCTGAACACTTGCACCTAATCTTTTGTAATTTGTGACATTTAATAGTGTTTGCATGGGACCTGTGTTTTAGTTTTGGTGATTATAAATTGGTCCCGAGAAGTAACTTCTTGCTACCATTTATATCTATAGTGTGCAGAGTTCATTCTTTCTTGAAGCTCTCCTGACTATTCTAACCTGGGGTGCCCAGTTCTGTCTCTGACAGGTTTTTCCTCTTGGGCTGTGTGAAGAAGATCCATTATTGTGTCTCCTCCCTGCTCACCTGCCATAATTTTTGTTGATGTCAATTTTTCCATTGAGGAAAGTGCTCTGTAACAACAAATCTTTTCCAGCTGTTGAGCAGTTTTATCCTTGCTTTTTCTCTAGTGATTATCTAAGACTTCTCATCACCTGGTACACACTCACAGTGTTTTTATTGTCTTAGCCAGTGGTCAGACCTCTCTGGAGTATCTCATTGCTAGTTGTCTGGCCTGTTTGTTTGCCAGGATCTGAATGTGTGTGCAAGATCCATGTTTACCCTGTCATACATGAAGGCTTTCCTAACATGAGAATTAATGCTGCCAGGAATCTGGAGCTCATCAAATCAGCTCATCAAATTCAGCTCTGTTCTTGAGGCTACTGGGTGCTCATATTGAACACGTACAGGAATGAGCTGTTGAGAAGATTTGTGGCACTGAGGTCTTTGCATTCACAGTCTCTTGGCTGTGCTGTGAAAGTCAAGACTTCTTTGGCTCACGTTATCACTCTAAAGTTCGACAGACAAGTTAAGCATTTACTAAGCTGGAATTGGTCGGTGTGTGAGCATTTAACATCTGTCAGGATGAGTAACTCTCTCAAACTGATTTATTGCCTCAGCCTATATGTTGGCTGGCCCCTGGCTGAGTTTGAGAGATATTAGCCCCCATTGCTCAGAAATAACCAAAAGCTGCTTCCCACCACTGTATAGTCCTCTAGCCCTTCCCCTGATCTGTGTCCCAGGGATCTTCAAGGAAATGGTCACCACTGAAAAGGGGAAAAGCTAGCAAGCAAGCATATGTCTTCTGTGAACAAGGCTATGAAAAGTTTCCAGTTTCCAGTGCTGGAATGTAATTGGCATGTTAACAACATCTACTCTATGTTATGCAACTAGAACAAGACAACTGTTCCTGGAGATTAGTTTTTCTTTCTGATTAGCAAGCCCCCGCCCATGCCCGAATTGTCATCTTCTTGCCTGCCACCAATCTGCGTTGGGGGAAATAGAAACATCGAGGGCTCAAATGATGAGGTGTGTAAAGGCATCAGAAGGGTCTGAGATGTGTGGCCACACCATACATCTCCAAGTTATTTAAGGAAATCTTCTGCAGTACCATAGTGTGTATATAAAGAAAGGAGGAAGACAGCTACCACATCAACTAAATGTTGAAACTTCTAGCTGTATATATGAAGGTATAATTGCAAAAACAAAAAAGGAAGCTTGTGAAGGAAATGTTTTTTTTTTTTAAGAATATTCACTTGTTAAAATGAGAATCATTGAAATTTTACCTGGCAGCTTTTTTCTGTTTTGAAGTTTTGCATATCTTCATTTATCTTCAGTTAAGAAAAAGCAGGTGGCACTTTTCTTTTTTGACATTGATTGTCCTTACTTTTTAGGTATTCAGGACTACCGTATTGGTAGTAGTGGTATAGTAAACAGTACACGTTCTTTTTAAGCATAGGTTTCATTGATGTTAACAATGCTTCTACTGAAGTAAAAATAATTTGCATGATAGGTTTATTTTTAGCTCTGTGCTGCAAAGATTTCTAAGATGAATGTATTTTGAATATCTGAGAATATCCAAAGACTAATAGGAATATAATAGTCAATACAGTAACAAGACAGAACTTGCTTAGAAAAAACTATTTAGACTCTCTTCCACAAGCTGTGCTCCCTCATCACATGGTGCTGTTGTGGCTTTAAAACTGCCCAGGATAAGTTGTGATGGGTTCTCTTCTAATCTGCAAAATGTAGTTGGCTTATGCAGCTCTTGCGATGTTTTGACTTTTAGGTTCCTTTTAACACATGCATTTGTGAGTAATTTTGTAAGAAATTGATCAGGAATAAGAAGGCTGATAGGCCTTTCTAGAAGATCTTGCAAGCTGATTCACATATGCTCTTAAATAAAAGCTTTGCTAAAAGTAAAAACATAGTGTCCTGAAAAATTGCATATTTAGTTGCAATTATATAACAGCTAATGACTGCAGAATATAAAACACATCATTTTCCAGCTAAAGGGAAAGTGTTAGACATATGAGTTATTGTCGAAGCTTAGTAATATAGCACATATTTTGTATGCAATGCAGTTAAGTGGCCGAACTGCATGTATATTGTGTTTTGTTCTAAAATACGTATTTGTTTTTGGGCAAAGCAAATTGATGATTTGGCTAATGAAAGAAGAATGCTTCTTAGCACGGGCATTCGGTCACTTGAGGTTCTTGGTGCAGCGGCAGACCCCCCCGGCCCCCCCCCCCCCCCCCCAAAAAAAAAAAAAAAAAAATTATATCTGTGCTTTAATTCTATTCAGTTAAAGGTCTATATTTTTGCAAACTGTACCTAACACCCAAATGTTTTTGAGATAGGCACGAGAACTTATATAAGAACTTCCTTTGATTATTTGCTATGGATATAAAAATTCAGGGAATCTGAGGTCAAACTTAAAACACGTGTATTTTTTGGCTATATAATGCACTGTAGTGAGGCTATAAATCTGATTTGTAGTTGGCTGCTTTTAGCTGCACTGATATTTTAATTAAGGCTGTTTTCATGCTCTCTTTGTACAGATGACAGACTCGGGATGAGTGTTAACCATACTGAGCTGTACCTGAGAAGAAACCCTATAATGCATGCATATTCATTGAAGCCACTTAGCCACAACGTTGGCAATGTATTTTGTATATAAACCTCAGAAATGTAGATTGAATATCTGTCTAAGGTCTGAATTGCAGAAATTTTTTTTAAAAAGACAAACATTATTTTATAAGCCCCTTTTATGGAGTGTTCTATCCTTTCTGTTTTTGTGCCATTTCTGCAAACAAAGAAATTGTTCAGCAAACTGTCTTTGACTAGTAATGCTGCAGAAAGGCAGTTTCCTTGATAGCAATGGAAAACACCACTTTTAATAATAATTTTGGAAGAGGTGTACGCATGGTTTTCCTTTTTTCCTTTTCTTCTGCTCTGTCATAACCATGTACTAAGTAGAACTATGTCCCATTTTTTATTGTTTAGGACAACTATCTGTTCATGCACATGTTATCTTAGTGTTAAATTGCCAGCTGCATTTAATTCAGATAGGGAGAAAATTGTGTTTATTCATGAGTTTTTTTACACCTAGAAATATATTTTTTATTGCATCAACTGTATTCAAGTTATATTTTTTGATAGTTACAGTAAAGGAGTGTCATTGTGCAAAGAAAAATCATGTTTCTCTTTCTCATTCAGTTGACAGAACTTGAACAATATTTATTGGCCTATAAAGAGAAATAACATCATAGACTGAAGCAAATTTCAGTAATTTAGGTAAACTCACGAAAGTATGTTCTTGCTCTTCATTTTAGAATTCATATGTAC